TTGACAATAACTGACTTGCTAAATGTAATTTACAACATTGGTGCAACAAACTGCCTGCTTTACACTTCAAAGAGTGATTAAACGTAGGCCAAAGTCTGCAAAGACATTTCTTATTATAACATATGCAGCATTCACAAAATCATGCATGAAAGTCCGTTTTTGGGAGAGTGAAAAAAAATTTCCATCTACATAAATTCAGTTTGTGTTTCTTCTCAGTCTCAAGTGACTTGCATCAGGACTCCATTTTCAACAAAGCTTCCCATCTCCCCTTCTCTTCGGGACAAAGATGGCAATGCTTATTAGATTTACAAATGCTGTAGGGAACACATTTATAGATGCAAGTACTTGTCTTCACTATAGTTTTGTTTTAAAGCTATTATATCGTTTTCTAAGTTAGTACGCCAACATTAACTCCATTCATTAAATATTCACCTATATTTCTTGATGTTTGGCAAAGAGTAAAATATTTCAATTAATATTTCAAGTTGTAAGCCACTGAAAGAAGTTTTATATTACTGGAAACATTTCCACAAAAATCCCTTTCCATGCATTTTATTTCTAAGATTCGTGATGGAAAATCTTGTTTCATGCATTATTTCTAGCAATAATGCTGATCTTATCACATTTTCATTTTCTGCATTCAAACTTCAATTTTTTTGTCTTTCTCTTATGAGGGGCAGTTAAAAAAGCCCCAAGAAATCTTAGATTATCAACTGAACCCCCCACCACTTCTATCTAAATGCCATGGGACAATTGTCCCCACTCACATGATAAGGGGTAGGACCATTCTATTCTATCTAGGACCTTTTCACATATGTAATGCCTGCCTAATATGTTAGTCCTCTTTCTGAAACTTGCAGAGCTTTGAATATATCCCTTGTTTAAATAATTGAGATTTTCGATATATTATCTATAAGTCTTTTTTGTAAGAGCAAACCACAGAGCTGACTGTTCGCTAACCTTTTCGTAATAATATATTTATGTTTTAGTTTGTGAATTTTTGTTATTATTATTATACTTCGGAAATACACATGATATATAAGACGGATGAAATCCTTCCCCTTGGGGAATAGCAATACCAATGGCCGGCATATTAGCCAGTGTAGATTCTGGTTGCTGTTGACTGTTTGTTTCTTTATAGCATTGTCTTCTCTGGAAATCTGATCTGTCCGGAAAGAATGAGTTTAAAACTTAAAAAAAAAAAAAAAAAAAATAATAAAGAAAATGGTGAGAAAGATGTGAAATCCTTGTCTTTAGAAAACGTTGGTGAGTTTACAAGTTTGATAAGATTTTTACTTGTCTCATTTCTTGTTCAAAGATGGTTTCCAATGTGAATACCTGAAAAAACAGAAAGTTTTAATTATTTTTTTTTTTTTTTTATAGTTTTCTGAATGCAGGGTGGCGTACCATTGAATTTGATTTGTATATTAGTGTTTTGATTAGAGAGTTTAACTGGTGTTTATCTCTTAATCGCGTGACGGCACGTGATTTCGATGAATTTGTACTAATTAAGATGTGATTAATTATGTTTAATAAACAATTGTAGGCCTTGAATGATTTTGTGTGACTGAATTATCAAGATAGAATAATAATTAATATCCTGAATTATATTATTTCCACTATGTTGACTGATAAGTTGGTCCATCTCAATCCTTTCTTGTTCCGTTGTTCACAATCCTGCAAGTTGCCATGTTACAGACTGATGTAGAAATAGTGGCCTTTTAGGTGAGAGCCAGTTTTCATGCTTGAAATCTGCCATATGTATAAATTTTTATAGAAATGAGATGACAGTTTCTCAAAATTTTGTCAGAATTTTGTATTCTACTGTGATCTTTGGCTGACATAAATCAGCTAGCCCATACTGGTATAAAAATTTTTTCTTTATAAAAGGATTATCTCATGAAAGGTGGGGAAGTTTTTGTTCATCTGTTTTTGGGTGGATGGCTGAAACCAAAAATTAAACTGTATGGGTTAATGTTAAATCAAGGTTCAACCAAGAAGAATTGTCGCTTTGAGTCCAAGCTTACACGGATTGCTTTGAGTTTCACACAAACATCTTTTACTCAAAACGCGTCTACTATTTCCTGAAATTTTGCTAGCAATGTGACAAATCCCCCACTCTTAGATTTCGCCTCCTTTGGAGTTGTGAAGTCATCACAGATGTCCCTAATACTAGGATATAGACAATATATACTGGTTGGATCCATAATTAGATAAGTTATTGTCGAAAAAACATTTTCAGCAATACTAATCTTACAAAGACAAAAACAAAGGGACACAAAGACAATTTTCACCCTTCATCTTCATGATTTCTCTCTCTCTCTCTCTCCCTTTTTTTCGTTTTTTCTTTGTTTTTTCCTTCCTGTTGATGTCACTTTTACCTCTTTGTATTGTCTTTGTAAGGATACATTTTTCAACAATTTTATATCTTTTAAAAGTCTTGGTCATCTTGGAGTGAAAGGAGATAATGAAAGAGTTGAGAAACGTTTTAAATCTGAAAAGCCTGCAATTTTAGACGTTCAAATTACTGTTCTTTGACTGAAATGGTACCCACAGGTTTTGGTACCACAGTGTGTGGAATATTTGCAGCACGGTGGTGCCTGAGGCTGGGTAGCTTTAGGTTCTGTTGATCTTTAATCAGAGTTACATAGATGATTGCTTTTAGCTTCTTGTATTTGACCTCATCCTTAGTCTTGTGGCTAGATAGGAGTATGTGATTGTTCATTAAGGTTAGGGGCAAAAGCTTGAAGACAAAAAAGAATACAGCCGCATAAGCGGCTGCAGGTGTGGCCTCATTGCCCACCTCAGACAGCCGAAAAAAAGAAAAATAATAATCCCATTATACATAGGAAGTATCACGGCCGGGATAATCTTGTTGAGATCTCACTCGACTAAACACGCTTAAACCAACTTGTTTATAAAAGAAATAATCATTCCATTCAATAAGGTCTTGTTGGGTAGAATTAGCTACAACGGTGATTGTCAAACTACCTCTAATCGTATGCATGACCCTCGTATGGGCTTGACAGTGAAAGAGAGTGTTGGAGATCTACATAAGTTTTAACCGTGAGGGTAGGGTTGGAAACCATAGAAAATCTTCCTTACATCATATGTAGCTGTTCAAAAGTCTACTATGCAACTGAAAAATCTATTGTATATCGGACTACCATTTTTTAATTCATTTTAGATAGTGAAAAAGTCTATTGTATACACAGTCACACCGTATCACGTTATTTGTGTTATGTCATAAAACCCCAAAATCTTAACCATCAATGTGAATGGTAGCTTTGAAAATGGTTTTCAACATGACAGTTGTATAGAGAACATAGCATATGCAGGATTTATGATAGGTGATGGGTACTTTTATATTAAATATTAAAAGTAAGAGTAAACCACTTTTTCCCACCCAAGGTTTGCCTTAATGACACTTTTCATCCAAAAAATTTTAAAATACCATTTTTCACCCAAAGTTAATATTCCGTTACTACCCAAAGTCGATTTTGGCAATAAAAATTCTCTCCGTAACCACCATTTGAATCTTCGGTCTCTTTTCTACAAAACTTCTCTAACCTTAACACCTGATTTCTCATTGATTACTGGTTATTATAAAGTTAGGGTTTCTTATTCTTAGCTGATTTTCTATTGCGAATATTCAATCGGTTACCACTATTCGATCCATCGGTCTCCACTCTACAAAAACCCTCTTACCTTAGCTCCTAGTAACTTGCCCAACGCTGGCTGAGAAAGTGAAGTATATTTTGAGTATTAATGAAATATAAACTTTGAGTGAGAAAGTGATATTTTAAAACTTTTTGGGTAGGGAAAGTGTCATTAATTAAGGCAAACCTGAGGTGGGAAAAAGTCGTTTACTCTTGAAAGTAATCGGTCTTAGATATCTCAATTATTTAATTTCAAAGGATTTGATTTATCAAGTGAAAGTGGACTTAGTTACTTCTAAGTACTAAAAGAAGCTCTCTCATGGCCTAGAATGTGTAGTGGTTGAGATAAGGATGCGCCAAAAGTCCAATTGTACATCTTGATTTAACTCCTAATCTTGATTCTCTTAATTCCATTTTAAACGGCTATTTAGTTGAGATAATGTCGATCTTACGAGTTGGTATCTATTTTCTATCATTAAAGATATCCAAAATCTTACCAGTTGTGTGCACTGATCTTTTATAAATGATGAAGACCATTAGCTAATAGATTATTAATAGATATCTAATGCTAATGTTAGGCAAGTTTAATAATGGTGAAAGGGAAGCAATCTAGGTGGGCCTTGGATGTTGAAACAAGAGGCTAGAACCATTTGTCACTTTCTTGAACATTTGGTTGTCTGTCACTTGCTCTTAGATTCCATGACACTGCCTGATCCAAAGGCCCTCGAATAATTCTCAAAACTAGGTCATCGGTCCATTTTGGCAGGTGTCACAGACTCACAGGTCCGTAATATGTTGATGTAACTCATTTTTATTATTTATTTTTTAATGGAGTAAACCATCTTTTTCCCACCTAAATAATGGTTTAATGACATTTTTCCATTTACAGATATTTAAAATACCACTTTATTATCCAGATTTATATTCTTTTCTGATTTCAATCTCGTTGCAATTACACACCTGACCCCTCAAACCCTACTCTCGTCGACCCGGCTAATTATCGACAATCAAGCAATTAGAGTTTGTGCAACCACCCACTTCCAAATCAAATTCCGATCGATCCCAACCAGTAAAATCTAATCTTCTACCATTGAAAGATTCATCAACCTCTCCTCTTAAAAAACCCCAATAGGTTAGACCGCGTTTGCCACCGTAATATAGATTTGGATATTGAAGTGGTAGTTTAAAAGTCTGTGAGTAGGAAATTGTCATTAATCCATTATTTGGGTAGGAAAAAGTTGTTAACTCTTTTTAATAATCTTATCATGTGACTATAAAACATACTCAATATAACTCTATTATACATGCAATAGATGTTATTACTTATAAAAGTTTTTGATATTTGATCAAGCAAATCCATTTATTCAAATCACTCGGATTTTGGTTACCGTCCAAGACAACCTAAACTTATTGACAAATTACATGCGAATAATATGCACAATCTGTGTCATCCTTGGAGATTGAGAAGGAGAATTTCTCAAGCTTTCTCAGGCATTTAAGAAATGTCAAAGCACAGGGCAACCATGGACTTCAATTCCTGGAGCGATGGGGCACTTAGCCAGAGGGCAATGGTCAGTGTTATCCAAACCCCACCATTCTGGGCCAAAAATGTCATGTGATTGAAGGGTGAAATAGACCAACACACCCATGAAGGCAAGCCCGGCATCCAAAGCAGCTGATAAAATGTAATTATATCTAGCCCACCACATTTTATACCTTCTGAAAATGTAGTAGTTGAAGAAGATTCCAACAGCTCCCCAGCTAAGGTAATGCACAGCTTTAGCGAATGGCATGTAGAGTCTCCCTGCCAGGATGATCGGTGTGTGGATGTTCTTGATCCATTTCTTTTCTGGGTATTTTCGTGAGAGGAGCCACCCGGGAACTGGGGCGAGGAGGCCTATTAGGAAGAACCAGTTGAGTCCCGGGTAGACGCCTCGGTTCGTGAACATTCTGAGAGGTCCTACAACGCCCCAGATGAGTGAAGCATTGTAGAAAACATCATCTGCAGGACATGTCCAGGGACTCCCCTCTGGCAGCAAATTTGTGTCACAAATGTTGGGAATGGTTGTGAGAAGCCACCAGGATGTGCCAAAGTAGACAGTTGAAGCAACTATAGTTCCTACTAACTGAAAATACATATTGACAAAGGTAAAAGGACAGAAATTATAGCATTAAAAAAAAATCTGAAAACTTAGTGAATTACATTTACCTGTACAACGAACATGGATTTGGGAGGGATTTTCATATAGTGGCCTAATTTGAAATCTCCAATAAAACTGAGAGCTTGCGTCATCCTCATATAGCCGTAAGTCTTGAAAACTACATTGGCTATAGGCCTACCAGGATACATGTACCCAATGATTACCTCTGTAATCACATTTAGCCCTAGTTGCTGCAGATTAATTACACAATTTTCATTGAGAAATATTAGCTTCTGAGTTGTTGTGTCAAATAAGCGTAAAATTAGATAAATTATGGAAAATACCATGTTTGTGGTTGCCTGAATCACCCCAACAGGTAATATGAAGAGGAATGGTATGAAACAGGCTAGTGTGAGTCCCCACCAGGGAAGCTGAAACTGTTTACCGAATCCTTCACAAGCGAAGACTGAAAGCGCAATTCCTCTGACAATGATGTCAGTTTTATGAGTTTGAGAATACTTACTATGAGGAACAGAAGCGTCTTCAACATCGTGACGACTTGCCATTTCCATTTCTCCTTCTCTCCAAAGGCAATGGCAATCCTTCAAGGATTGCTGGGCTAGCCAAAAAACTCTCTAAATGTCTAGTATGTATATATTTTCACAGACTTCTCTGTGGCTATCTGGATACTTTATACTGGTTTCAAAAATAAAGAGAAGAATTTGTACAAAAACTTTGCTTTATCTAGATCAACATGTTCGATTATAGTTAGAGTTTTGATAACATTTTTAGATAATACTACAAGAACATTATTGAACAAAAAATCACTTGCAAAAGTTAATAGACTATTGACTGAAGCTTATTCAAAGTCTCCTAATAAAAATAAGTGTGCAAATTGTAATAAAAACAAGTTGGAAATTTTAATAAAACTTCCAAAAGAAAATAAGTGTGGAAATTGTAATAAGAGGAGGTCAAGTCGTGTTAATTGATTCTATGAAACTAATGAGCCAACAATTCTCCATTGTTTCTTTCATATATATCTTATTAATAAGTGTGAAAATTGTAATAAAACTTTCAAAAGAAAATAAATTTTGGTTACTGTGAGATGGATAGATCACTAAGAGATCAAGCCGTGTTATATGGTTGTATTAAATTGTAATTGATAAATCATTTGTTTACACAAAATTTTATTTTTAATAGTTATTTTTAATGCTAAACTGTGATTGATAAATCATTTATTTACGCAAAATTTAATTTTTAATAGTTACAATAGTTACTTTTAATGGTAAACTATGATTAATAAATCATTTATTTACACAAAATGAATCGAATAAAGTGGAGATGTATTGATATGATGTGATCTAAGAACAAAATAATAAGCTAGCTACATTAATATAACTCTTGAATTTGTGAAAAATTATGTTATCACTTATGACAAATATAAAAAGAGAAATCACTACATATTTTTACAATAAAAGTTTGGATTTTCTTTCATAAAAGTGGTACACTAATTTAGACTATAAATTGAAGAGATAAAATATAATTTTAATTGATACAACTTAGATCCTATTAAATTGAAGAGATAAAAGCTTGAGCTTTTATGTGGGAAGGCAATTTAACATGGTATCAAAGCCAAAAGTCTCACGTTCGAATCCCCACATACAAACTGGATAAAGAAAATAAAAAAAAATAAAAAATCCAAGTTTGTTGTGAGGGGCCTATTGGTCTTAATATATGTTGAATCCTCACTTACAAGTTTAAGCTTTTAAGTGAGATTATAAATTAACAGTATCAAACCTCGTGCAAGTTGAGAGCTTGGATTTTTTCTACAACTTCAATAGTTAATGACCATGAAGATAGTAACTTCATTGACATAGGCATCTTTTATATTAGTTTTACCATGATTTACATAATTATGTTAGTTTTTTTGTAGTCCTCTATATAAATCCTCACTTGATAACTTCCTCCTATTATTTTATTATAGGGGATTCTACTGTGATCTTTGGCTGACATAAATCAGCTAGCCCATACTGTATAAAATATTTTCTTTATATAAAAGGATTATCTCATGAAAGGTGGGGAAGTTTTTTGTTCATCTGTTTTTGGGTGGATGGCATGAAACCAAAATTAAACTTGTATGGGTTAATGTAAATCAAGGTTCAACCAAGAAGATATTGTCAGCTTTGAGTCCAAGCTTACAGGATTTGCTTTGAGTTTCACACAAACATCTTTACTCAAAACGCGTCTACTAATTCCTGAAATTTTGCTAGCAATGTGACAAATCCCCCAACTCTTAGATTTCGCTCCCTTGTGAGTTGTGAAGTATCACAGATGTCCCTAATACTAGGATATAGCATTATACTGGTGGATCCGGATAATTATGATAAAGGTTATTTGTCGAAAAACAATTTTCAGCAATACTAATTTACAAAGACAAAAACAAAGAGGACATACAAAGACAATTTCACCCTTCATCTTCTGATTTCTCTCTCTCTCTCTTCCCTTTTTTTCGTTTTTTCTTTGTTTTTCCTTCTTGTTGATGTCACTTTGTAACCCTCTTGTATTTGTCTTTGTAAGGTAGACATTTTTCAAAATTTTATACTTTTAAAAGTTGGTCATCTTTGGAGTGAAAGGAGATAATGAAAGAGTTGAGAAACGTTTAAATCTGAAAAGCCGCAATTTAGACGTTCAATTACGTTCTTTGACTGAAATGGTACCCACAGGTTTTGGTACACAGTGTGTGGAATATTTGCAGCACGGTGGTGTGCGGCTGGGTAGCTTAGGTTCTGTTAGATTCTTTTAATCAGAGTTACATAGATTGATTGTTTAGCTTCTTGTATTTGACCTCATCCTTAGTCTTGTGGCTAGATCAGGGTATGTGATTGTTCATTAAGGTAAGGGGCAAAAGCTTGAAGACAAAAAGAATACAGCCGCATAAGCGGCTGCAGGTGTGGCCTCATTGCCCACCTCAGACAGCCGAAAAAAAGAGAAAAATAATAACCATTATACATAGGAAGTATCACGGCCGGGATAATCTTGTTGAAGATCTCACATCGACTAAACACGCTTAAACCAACTGTTAAAAAGAAAATAATCATTCCATTCAATAAGGTTTGTTGGGTAAGGAATTAGCTACCAACGGTGGATTGTCAAACTACCTCATACGTATGCATGACCTCGTATGGGCTTGCATGAAAGAGAGTGTTGGAGATCTACTAAGTCTTAACCGTAGGGTGAGGGTGGAAACCATAGAAAAATCTTCCTTACATCATATGTAGCAGTTGCAAAAGTCTACTATGCAACTGAAAAATCTATTGTATATCGGACTACCATATTTTAATTCATTTTAGATAGTGAAAAAGTCTATTGATACAAGTCATCAACGTATCACGTTATTTGTGTTATGTCAATAAAACTCCAAATCTTAACCATCAATGTGAATGGTAGCTTTGAAAATGGTTTCAACATGACAGTTGTATAGAGAACATAGCATATGCAGGATTTATGATAGGTGATGGGTACTTTTATATTAAATATTAAAAGTAAGAGTAAACCACTTTTTCCCAAGGTTTGCCTTAATGACACTTTTCATCCAAAAAATTTTAAAATACCATTTTTACCCAAAGTTAATATTCGTTACTACCCAAAGTCGATTTTGGCAATAAAATTCTCTCCGTAACCACCATTTGAATCTTCGGTCTCTTTTCTACAAAAATTCTCTAACCTTACACTGATTTCTCATTGATTACTGGTTATAAAGTTAGGTTTCTATTCTTAGGATTTTCTATTGCGAATATTCAGGTTACCACATTCGATCCATCGGTCTCACTACAAAAACCCTCTTACCTTAGCTCCTAGTAACTTGCCCAAAGCTGGCTGAGAAAGTGAAGTATATTTGAGTATTAATGAAATATAAACTTTGAGTGAGAAAGTGATATTTTAAAACTTTTGGGTAGGGAAAGTGTCATTAATTAGGCAAACTGAGGTGGGAAAAAGTCGTTTACTCTTGAAAAGTAATCGGTCTTGATATCTCAATATTTAATTTCAAAGGATTTGATTTATCAAGTGAAAGTGGACTTAGTTACTTCTAAGTACTAAAAGAGCTCTCTCATGGCCTAGAATGTGTAGGGGTTGAGATAAGGATGCGCCAAAAGTCCAATTGTACATCTTGATTTAACTCCTAATCTTGATTCTCTTAATTCCATTTTAAACGGCTATTTAGTTGAGATAATGTCGATCTTACGAGTGGTATCTATTTTCTATCATTAAAGATATCCAAAATCTTACCAGTTGTGTGCACTGATCTTTTATAAATGATGAAGACCATTAGCTAATAGATTAAATAGATATAATGCTATGTTAGGGAAGTTTAATAATGGTGAAAGGGAAGCAATCTAGGTGGGCCTTGGATGTTGAAACAAGAGGCTAGAACCATTTGTCACTTTCTTGAACATTGGTTGTCTGTCACTTGCCTTAGATTCCATGACACTGCCTGATCCAAAGGCCTCGAATAATTCTCAAAACTAGTCACGGTCCATTTTGGCAGGTGTCACAGACTCACAGGTCCGTAATATGTTGATGTAACTCATTTTTATTATTTATTTTTTAATGGAGTAAACCATCTTTTTCCCACCTAAATAATGGTTTAATGACATTTTTCATTTACAGAATTTAAAATACCACTTTATTATCCGATTTATATTTTTTCTGATTTCAATTCGTGCAATACACACTGACCTCAAACCCTACTCTCGTCGACCCGGCTAATTATCGACAATCAAGCAATTAGAGTTTGTGCAACCACCCACTTCAAATCAAATTCCGATCGATCCCAACCAGTAAATCTAATCTTCTACCATTGAAAGATTCATCAACCTCTCCTCTTAAAAAACCCCAATAGGTTAGACCGCGTTTGCCACCGTAATAAGATTTGGATATTGAAGTGGTAGTTTAAAAGTCTGTGAGTAGGAAATTGTCTAATCATTATTTGGGTAGGAAAAAGTTGTTAACTCTTTTTAATAATCTTATCATGTGACTATAAACATACTCAATATAACTCTATTATACATGCAATAGATGTTAATTATAAAGTTTTGATATTTGATCAAGCAAATCCATTTATCAAACACTTGGATTTTGGTTACCGTCCAAGACAACCTAAACTATTGACAAATTACATGCGAATAATATGCACAATCTGTGTCATCCTTGGAGATTGAGAAGGAGAATTTCTCAAGCTTTCTCAGGCATTTAAGAAATGTCAAAGCACAGGGCAACCATGGACTTCAATTCCTGGAGCGATGGGGACTTAGCCAGAGGGCAATGGTCAGTGTATCCAAACCCCACCATTCTGGGCCAAAAATGTCATGTGATTGAAGGGTGAAATAGACCAAAACACACATGAAGGCAAGCCCGGCATCCAAAGCAGCGATAAAATGTAATTATATCGAGCCCTAACAAAAAAAAAAAAAAACCTCTTAATAACATGTTATTGTACAGTTATTATTTTTGGTATCTGTTGGAGAAAATTCAATGGCAGCTGAAAGTATTGCAACAAAATTATTTAAACCCA